AGTGCGCGTTGTTATTTATTCCGTTCTATGAAGCTGAGTACGCCGCTGTTTTATGCCGCAGCTATTCCGAATAATTAACCTTATTTAAAGCGGAGGAGCTGTTTGCGCAACGCATCGCACTAAAATGCATGCTGCTGGCTGCGCACACTTTGTCCTCTTTATTTCTGTGCGGGAAATTTTAGCGCGTTTTGAGAGTAAAATGACAAACACAATTGAGTGGCCACCGCTGAGGACGACATTCGCAATTTAATGTGTCTGAAATCTAATTCTATGTCATTATTATGCTCTGTATAGCAGTAGATGCTAATTTAGATTACACTGGTTCGGCAGAATTATAATTTTTTAAAAGTTTTCAGTTGCTATTTTTTACGGAGAGTAGGCGACACACGCGGCTAGAGAATGCATTCAAAAGCCCCGTAACAACAATCTGCTTCGGGAAGCTGCGACAAGCGGGGTTAGTTCACTTTATGATTTATTATGAAAGGGACACCGCCTTGCGAAAGCAGCATTCAACTCGATGGAGAAGGGATCGTGCATGCCAAACATTCTGTGTGCTTACCCAAATTGTTTGGCTGTAAGCTAAAGTGGTACTTTAACGCCTGCTGAAAACAGCTGCTGAAGAAAGAGGATGAAAAGTGGAAGGAAAGCCAATGTGTTTTCTTTACTTTCCTGGAAAAATCTTCAAAATTTCTCTTATGGAAAGAAAACGCGAATGGCACAAAATTTAACTAAGGAAAAAATTTAACTAAGGGGAAATTAAGGGAAAAAAGTCTGGTGAAATTTTGATAAAAAAGTTGTTATCCATTAGATGAACGCATTGAGGGAAACTAAATCTGATCTTCCCTCAAAAACAGCTTTTTAAGCAAATTTGGGGTGGAATTAGCAAAAGATGTAGTTATGTATAAGTGAGGGGTCTCTCTGAACAATATACACCAGCAGGGCTACAGTTGATTTGTAATCTGTGCTTGTTTTTAGTCACGGCTTCTCCTGAACGATCCTGAACGATTAGCCGACTGTGCAGTCAAGAAAGTGGTGCTGTTTTCAGTGACGAAATAGCTGCGATATCGGCGAATGGTCAGATACGTTCCTTTGATTTCCCGAGGCTGGATGATGCGGATGGTGAGCTCCAAAAACCTCTTCCGTTCTTCGAACAGCTCGTTCTGGCTAATATTTGTGTCTCGCACATTGCCGATATCGATGGTGATGGATTGAGCGAGTTGATTGTCGTCATGACCGATCGTTGTGGTAAATGTTTTTTTTTTCTCAAAAATTTATTGTTATTCGTATCTGGAACAGCTATTGATTCATTGTCTGATTTTCCAGCTATGCAGCTGGCAACTCATTCTATTTTTTTAGTTGATGCTCCATCCAGCTCAACGGGTTCTGTTGAAAAAAATGTTTAACAAGCCTTTTAGCCGTTCCAGGATGTCCTTACGTGTATTAGCATCATCGATCGTCCAGAACGCCTCCAGTCTTAGACCATGGAAGATTGCTTTTATGCATATATGTGTTTAGAGAAATCTGGAAGGTACCTGGAACAGCCAAGGAATCGGTCTTTGTTTTTCTTCAAGGTTATTCGTTCCGGCAAACGAAGAACACGTGTCGCCGAAAGGCGAGTCGTCTTGATGTGCCTAAGATATTTTGTTTTGAAAATTGTTTCGT